CGGCCCCTGCCCGGCAGCAGAGCGCCGCGCCGCCGAACAGCAGCGCAAGCGGAAGGTCACGATCTCAGCGAGTCAATTCGCCGAAAACCGCCGGCCCGGATTCCACCCAATTGTTGTTCTAAAAAGGGTTTCTTCCGAGAGAATAGAAGGGGATGATTACGTGCGACAGGCACGTGCGGCGCCCCCGGTGGGCGTGTGGCCGACCGCCGCCCTGTGCGCCGCGCCAGCGCTGCCGGCCTTCAGCTTCCTGGGCGAGGACAAGTGGCGGCAGCAGCTGCGGTACCCGCCCGGGGTAGGTCCGGCCCACTCATCGCTGGCATTTCACTCAGTTATTTCCTTTTGCAAAGACGAGCTGATTGTTTGACATTTGGGAGGTTTCCTGTCTGTTCACAACTCACTGTTTTCCAAATACTGTGACGTTACATTTCACATAATGTGAATTGTGTCACATATTTTAGAATATCATGTCACATTTTTCAAAACGCTTAGTGCGATATAGGGAAAGGGTACCTAATAGGTACTACCTATGTCACATTATAACGCATGTGACATGATATTCTATAGAATGTGACACAATTCACATTATATAGAATGTGACGCACAGTATTTGAATAACAGTGCGTTTTTTGTTGTTGTTTTTTGCTTGCGTCCAGGTCGAAGAGGTCGCTCTGCGGCGGCCGGGGTTCGTGCGCCAGGTTGCCGCGCGCTTCGAGGCCCTGGTGGCCAGGACGCTCCTCGTGGCGGCCCGGCGAGCGCGGGCGCACACGACGGCTCCACTGCCGCAGCCGCACCTCCAGCAGCAGCACCAGCACCACCTCCTGCAGCAGCCGCGACCCGCGCACTCCGACTCCAGGATGATACCCCTCCACAGCCCCGGCGGCAGCGCCACAAGTGAGCGACCACCGACCACGGACGCGACTCTTTAGGGACCGTTCAGATACTACGGGCACCAGAAGAGCGCACTGGAAAAAACGAAGTTTCTGAGCTCTACGTTTTAAAGGCAACAAAACTAACAAAGGCACTAATTTTTGGCACCTTTAGGGCTCTGAAGTGCCTTTATGGAGGCAATAAGTGGGGGTGCAAATATTATGACCTCCCATTCAGTTCAAAATCACAATAATAATCCACACGGCCCCCATAATATTTGTACCCCGAGGTAAAAAGTATGTTTTCCATGAATGTTGATCCCGAACCTAGTGAGTGGGATGACATAATATTTGTACGCTCCCTGAACATGAACGGCCCCTTATCACTGCCATCACCATGACCATCATGACTATCGCGCTGTGAATGGTTTTCGTCAGTGTTTCGAGAACGGAGCAACGGAGCAAAATGATAAACGTGCCCGCTTTTCCTCCCCCCTTAGCTCGCGCTTTCCGCCCATACACCCTACTCTCTTGAGACCGCTGCCCGAAGGCTAACCGTCTCGCTCTCATATCTCTCCTTCTCTCCCTCCTCCTCCCAACACCCCAAGGCGGAGTAGGAAACAAAAACACAGCCCCAGGGTCACCCGCGAGCTCCACGCCGCCGTTGGAACCTGCGCCGTGCGGCAGCGTGCCCCTGCCCGCGACCTTGGCCGCCTTCAGGTAGGGGAGGAGGGCGAAGACGGCGTGCGGGGGAGGGGGAAAAACACAAAACAAAAACAAAAACACTGCCCTGATGTTATGTCCAGGTTCGGCCGGCGGCGATCGGAAGACTCCTCTTTCTCGTCCTCCACGTCCTCGACGCCGCACTTCGACGAGGAGGCCGGCGTGCGGAACATCTTCTTCACCCTGACCAGCCCGCCGCCTCTCAAGCCGGCGCCAGGCCAGGACCTGGGTTCGACTCCCAGCGACGGCCTTGGCCCGATCCCGAGGGCCGCGCGCCTAGCCGAGGTGAGCACCCCTGGACCACGGGGCAAGCCACGGGATAACCAGGACGACATCGCAGGACAGGTTGCAGTCAGGAGGTCAACAGAGCGTCGCTGGGTAGGACGTCGCGACACGGTCAGGACGTCCACAGGGCCCCTCCAGCTCCAGGGCGTTCCCTGGGCGTCCCCAGCGCGCGTCCCCAGGGCATCACCTGGGTTTTGCCAGTGCGTCCCCATGGCGTCCCCAGGGCGTCGCCAGGACGTCGCTCGGGCGCCACCCCTCTTTACTATGGCCGCTGCCCGCGGGCTCCGCGGCCACTATAACGGCGCGAGCGGCGCGCGCCACGACTGCGTGCACTTCATCTTAATGAACCATCATCCTGAGAGCCGAGTAATTTTTCATACCGCTCCGCCCAACGACGCGCATCTTGTCCCCGGCGACACTCACCGTCGTCGTCTAAAGCAGGAGCAGCGCTACTATCCCCAACGCCCCCTCTCACTCCCCCCCCCCCTGTCGCTGTGAGGAGAATGATGGACGACCTGGGCCCATAACGATAATCTCTCTAGTCGATGCATGTGGCGGTGCGAAACTTTGCGCCTGCGAGGTAGGCCACACATTCACCCGGCGCGCATGTGGGGCCGCCTTCGCCGCCCACCAGGCCTCAGTGGCGATTAGCGTCCCGAAACTCCGAACTCCCCCAAACCCTCCGGGTAAGCCTGAGAGCAGAGCAAGACACGTGTTTTCACCTGTACTGTGTTTAAAAAAAAATGCTTTTGGAGATGGCGAGAGAGGAAACGGTTGTACGGAAAAATCTTCCGGAAAATATCAGTTATATAAGTATCTGTTTTTTCTTACAAAACAGCAGTGGGGTCTATCACACCTTGCTATGGGTTTGCAAAGACGACAGCTGCTCTGACCAAAATCACTATTTTGTTCTATCAATAAGTTTGAGCCATATTAACATTAATAGGGTGATGGTAGAAAAAGCACCCTCAAAAAAAAGGCGCATATTCAAAATAATTATTAGTCATTTATCTTCGAATCAACCCTGCGGCAGAAAGTATTACGTCCAGCACCCCCCCCCCCCTATTTCCGAGTTCTTCGCGCGACCGTACCCCGGCCATAACTCACTACTTATGAATACGAAGAGGGCTTCTAACCTCAGGGAAGCCGCCAACACTCTTCCGACTTCGGCCGAACTCGGCCGCATAGCACACTACTACTCATTCCTCGGCTATGCTTCAACGACGCGCCACCCACTTCCCGTCGTAATTATATCTTAGCGTTCCTCAATTAAGAGGCACTCAGCAAGAAAATGCGTAGATCATGAATAACGACAAATATTTTTTAAATTGGGGTTCTGTTTATCTTTGCATTGCTTCATGCTGGTCGAATTGTGAAAGTGTGCGAATCACCGAAATAGACAATTAATTCGTTGTATACTTTTCCCACAGGGCACTGGCCCGATGGACAGACTGCCAAGCGTGGCATCTTGTTGCTGCCGGATCTGCCAGAACTCGAGCAGCTTGGAGCGGCTCATATCTCCCTGCAACTGCAAAGGTAACAGCCCACCCCACAACAAATTGAAATACAAAGGCCGTTTCCTGTATTGTAACATTTCCGTACAGGGTCCCTCGCGTACGTTCACTTGTCGTGCCTGGAACGGTGGCTCAACCAGAGCGGCCGCACTTACTGCGAGCTGTGCCAGTACCAGTTCAGCGCAGTGCAGACCCAGCGGTACTCATGCCTGCAGAGCCTGCGGATCTGGTTAGAGACTCACAACCCTTGTACTCACACACGCGAGAGAAGGGAGGAGGGAGGAATGGGGATGCAAAAAAAAGCAGTCACATGTTTGTAAGCTTAAAAACACTAAGTGAAAAAGTCTGTAGGCTTACATGCCTTTTTCAAAATAGTTTGGAAGGTAGACATTTGTGAAAGCAAATGCTTTGTATTACGAAGCTACAAATTTTTTTGCAGCTTACAGGCTAATTAGTTTTCAAGTATCTAACAGTGTAGCTCTTGAAACGTGTGACATTCGCGCCAATCTTCATTACCCGAGTACCCCAAAGTGTTTGGTGCACTGTTGCATATCGCTTCGTGCGGTGAGCCGTGGGATCGGTTTTCAGGCGAAGCGAAAGCAGAAGTAAGTAACTCTGGGCGCCCGCGAGTGCGGTGTGTGTGAAAGGGCGAGAGTACGGGGAAGTGCGTGGGTGCGTTTGTGCGTCGCTTTATAGCGCCATCAAAGGAGGGCCGCAAACCCGTAGAAAGTTGGTGGCAAGTCGAGGTACCGTCACGTTCTCCTGAATAGGAAAGTGGATAAATGTTATGTCACGATGGATGGGTTCGAGCGGGGCGGAGGAGTAGGTGAGGGGGACGTCTCATCTCTGGTGAGAGCCTTACACCAACTCCTTGAAGATGTAAGAAAATTGTGAATTGCGAGAGAATACGGAAGAAGGTGTCGTGAACATTCCGACATCAGCCTACCCAAAACAATTATTGTACTATATACATATCCATCACATACCGCGTAACAGGCTTCGCGTTATGTTGGGCTGGGGCAAGGAGCAGAATGTTTGATTTTATTGGTGTAGAGAACGGCAGCCCCTCCTAGTTTTGCGAACATTCTCGAATGCCTCTGCAATGACTAGGTGAATTAGGATAAGATCAATTGATCTTGGTGGTTCCCGACATGACTTTGGAGCATAGGTTTTGAAAGCTATTGTCCGACAGAAATAATTTCTACAGAGAATATGTCCCATCAACAGGTATAGCCACCCACGCATCCGGCGCCAGTTCTACGCCGACGTCGTCATCCTGGTCATTCTATCGTTGGTGACGGTGGGCCTGCTCGCGGTCACCGCCATCGGCATGCGCTACTTCGTCGGCGAGGGCTCGAGGCTCGGCATCTCCGCCTTCACCACGCAGGGCACCATCCTATTCTTCCTCGGTCTGGTCGGCATCGGCTACTTCATCACCGTGTGCCTGCTCGTCCGCGACCAGGTAGGATGGGGACGGGGTGTCAGGGCGACGGATCGTGCATGTGCACCCACAACCAGTCTGCTCTTGAATCCCGAGCGGTTTTCGTGTATCATCGATGAAATTGCAGTGTAGTGTTGGACTTTCCCAATCATCGCGGGAATTCATGTAGAAAGCACCACTCTCACGTACGAACAGACTTTTGTGGGTGTGTTGTGCGATCTGAACTAGCTTCGGCAGGGGCCGCTGCTGCCGCCAGGTGGCGCCGTGGCTGCGCTGGTGGCGGGCCGCCGTGGACGTGCGCCTCACCTGGCGAAACGCGCAGCACGGCCAGGTGTTCCAACAGCAGTAACAATAAACACAGACTACCTGAACCGAGGCCTAGTACGATGATCATTGTATTAGAATAATTTAAATTTCCTTACCTGTAAGTCAGCGGTAAACCTCCCGCTGCCCTCTTTCTACCCCTATAATTCTGTCTCGCCTTGCTTATCTCTTGTAAAAAAACAACAACAACGTAAACGGCTTACGAGAAGCATATCCCACCGGGTTAGCGCTACTGGTCGTCAACCCCCAATCCTCCGGACATTTCGTACAGCCACCCCTGCTTCTCCCCCCCCCCCCTTTTCCCGAGTTCCGTCCCTCTACTCCTCACCTTGCCCCCCGCGGGCAAAGCAGAAGGCTATAGCGGCATCCTTTTCCAGATGCAGCCAATGATATGAGCTC